ACACAGAGACGATGTTGTTGAGATTTAAAACTGCTACTCGGTTGGGTAACATATTCTTCAGTGACGAAGCCCATTTCCATATCGGAGGATATGTAAATAAACAAAATTTTCGTTATTGGGATATTTCCAACCCGAGAAAATTGCATGAAGAGCCTTTACACAAACCAAAAGTCACAGTATGGTGTGCAATATCTGCGTCTGCCATAATAGGGCCTTATTTCTTCGAAAATGAACGTGGCCAAACTGTAACAGTAAATTCCGAGAGATATGATCAGTGATTTTTTTGACTAGAATTACAGAATAGTCCATACTGTAACCGGAATACGTGGTTCCAGCAAGATGGGGCCACAGCTCACACTGCTAATGTGGCCATGAGTGCAGTGCGAGAGTTGTTTCCCGAAAAAATCATATCCCGGAACGGCACCATACCGTGGCCTCCCAGGTCACCAGACCTAAGTCCGTGTGACTTTTTCTTATGGGGACACTTAAAATCTATCGTTTACAAAACAAATCCGACCACTGTGACACAGCTGAAAGAAAACATTCGAGCAGAAATCAGCAAGATTCCCCAGTCGCTTTGTAAAAGAGTTTTCGAAAACATGCGTTCCAGACTCAAGGAGTGTGTTAGGGTCGATGGCCGCCATTTAGAAAACGTTGTTTTCAAAAAATAAAATCCGCCTTTATGTTCTTTATATTTTAATAAAAATACTTTGCATAAAACGTGTCGTTCTTTTTTTATAATTTTTCAAACTTTGAAATCTGCCACTGGACACCCTGTATTATAGCTGCAGATGGCTCTTCCGCGTTTAATAGTTTTAGTCCTTGATATCGGCTTTAAAGTGCAATTTTTAAAAAGTCAGGGTAAGAAATAGTATAATCATCCAGTTTTTTAAAGAAGTAAGGAAGTAAGTGGCAGTTTAAGAAATTACAATATTGTATATACCGTGCGCGTCTCATGGGTAGCATCTTCCTGATAACAAAAATAAAAAATGAGGTTGCCAAACTGCTTGTCAATTATGGCAGCTATGGCAAATATCTTCCTATATGAGGCAAACTATGAGGGAAGTCTGAGTTCAGCAATGAGCTTTTGATAGACTGTAACGGTAACGGTAACAGTATCTTTTTTTATTGATACAATATCTTAATGAATCTTTCGAAACTCGATCTTTTTTCTCTTACTGTGGACAATTTCATCTCTGCAGATATTAATAATAAACCGTTAAACATAGCCGTAAAACAAAGACAGAAAAAAGAAAGAAACAAAGTCAGTTAATGGTTTCTTATTGAATAGAATACTGCATATTAAATAAAATTCAGGGCGTCAAACATCACTGTTAGCCTGTAACCACAGCTGATGGAAATTACTTGAAACGTTGAGATTTAATATTAGAGACAGGTTACTATAAAATTTGTTTTATTCAATTTATATTTAGTATCCATACAGCTCTTGAAATTGAAATCCAGAACCCAAGGAAAGTTTACCGTCAAAGGGGACAGGATTGTTAAATTAGATATAAGTAACCTAGTTTGGGATAAAGACGACTCGACTGTACGATGACCTGCCCTTTCTGAAAGTGTGAAAAGTCGCCACTAGTAATGAATCAACTTTACTCAATATTATATAACATTAAAATTGCAGCATTATGTTGTAACATATGTTTTTTTTTTTTAATTCAAATGAAAGTAGAGTACCACACTTAGGCTTTTAGCTTCCATTTATAATGATTATATGTATAATCTGTGGCTCGCACTATTGAATCAAAGAAGGTTGGCCAAATCGTACCAGACGATGAAACGATGGCGTCCCTATATGCCATATTTATGAAAAATATCCTTTTTTTAAGGTCTTAAAAAACAAAAAAAATACCTCCCTAAGTAGCCACAAAAAAAGTAATCCTTTAATTTTTGGTTTTGTAACGAAATTATTTAAAATAATGGTTTCTGAACGTACTGGAAAGCACCTAACGACGATTCATTTCATGTATGAAAGGACTTTGTATTCAAAGACTATAATTATTCACGTTTTTCTGAATAGTTGTTAATTGTAATTCAATTAAATTACTATGTAGGCATCAAATCAACGAGTATACTGATTTATTACGTACTGGATTCATGTCATAAAAATAATTGTGTAGCTTCATAGTAAGCTAAGCGTTTTGTTCAATTACGTAATTAAAACGAATATATCTATGGCAATCATTCGCATCATCTTATTTGATTCTCTCGTTGTTGTGGGTTGTGATACGTACTGTACTACTTTAGGTTTCCTTCTGTTGTTTCATCCTCGGCATTGTTTTACGGACTGATACTACTACTTGTAACGATTATTCTGTGCTTATGATTTCTGGACCCCGATTTTGCATCTTGCATATTTGCGAGAGACATCATACAGACTACAGCTACACAACGACGACAGCTAGCCCTGCGATTGTGTTGATTGTAACATATTATGCATTGATATACTTCGCCGCCATCTCATTTTTGAGCTTGATACCAGAGTAATTTCTAAGATCCGCGAGTGGGATTCTTCAATAATAGTACATATTTACATACTTTCTTATTTTATTACATTAACATAAACCATCATACACAATCGTACATCATAATACAAATCTAATTCTTATTTTCGATCACTGAAGAAGATTACATATGTCATGCTAACCTCAAAAGAATTGTTGACGTTGTTATAAAAAATTGTGGCTATTTAGATATGATTTTCAAACGGGATGGTGTTTACAACATAAAAACAAACCAATCTAGCTATAGTTTGTTTTGGGACATGAAAAATAAAAGTCAAGTCCAGCTTCTACATACATTTGGCCATTGTTCTTTCGGGTAATGTTACAGAGTGCGACAGCTGATAATTATATTGAAAATCGTTCGCTGAATATTATCAGCGAACGATTTTCAATATACTCGTAGTAGGCCTTTAGTGATATCAGTGTTGATGACAATGACACTATATAAAGAAAATTATGTTGTATTTTAGTTTTAGTTTTTTTTATTATGGTCAATTTTGAATATTGTACATATTTGAATGTCATATAAATAAATGATAATATAATTTAAAAAAAAAGTAAGAATGTTCGATGTTATTCAATAATATAATACCTACGTTTATCAATAATAATATACTACGCAAGGAACTTCATTCCAACCAAGTGCTCCACGACACTCACGCACTTTTTTATTGAAGTACAACAAATGAAATAATAAAATAAAATGATGATAGCCAAATAAAACAGAGACGCATACGCATTCTACAAAATAGTCAGCCAGTATGTAAGACATTTTTACGATAAAGAGTGCAAATGTTTGACAAAAATTTTGGTAGGTACAATTGCGATCCCATTTGCGCAGAGATAATTTATCTAAACGTTTTGAAAATGTGTGTCCAAGCTTTGCTCAAGTGTGTGGCATCGGAGTTACTAAACGTATCTTATATCCGAATAAAGATCTGAGTTACTCTCAAGTCGCGCTTAAATAAGTTTTACTTCAAAATTTTTTTGAATAGAATATGGCTTACAAACGGGCACACAGCTCACCTAATGCTAAGTGGATGCTGTGGACATCAACAACTATCTTCAATTAATTATAAAATGTAGATGCGTTGTCACCCTTGAGGACTAACATGGAATGCCTCATTTCCAGTTATAATGGTCTCCGGTTCTCTACACTTACCATACAATTACAAGCACTATTGAGCTGCTATTTTACGTTGGTATTTTGTAAGATCGTGGTCCTTCCCCGGTCTAGTTGACCCATTCGTGCTACAACCATAATATAACTGCAGCAAAAGAGTTAAACTAATTATGTACAAATTTATCGTTATTTAAAATCAAATGTAGATAGCGCTTATTGTTACTTGATACGGAAACACGATTAAATCCACCAAGTATTGGAGAAACTCGCAATGAACAAAGCTATTACCGCCACTAATTGCTGCTCCATTGAGCTTTGTTGGCTTTATTACTGTTTAAGTTTAATTAAAATTGAAAATATAGGAAACTTATCGTTATTTTATGCATTCCAAGCATTGAAAGATTAAATAATTAAACCTTTAATGAAATGGAATCTATTTTAAAAAACTAAAAAGAAATTTTTTTTTAATAATTTAACAAAAATAAAGCACGTTTTACCAAAATGTTAAGCTCCGAGTTCAGAAGGTATAAAATCAGATTGGAATTTTATAAAGGTTAGTAGAACCGAAATATTGTAATAGTTATTTTCAATTAAAAAATAATCAATCAGTGGAGATAATCGCATAACATAAAAGAATACAATCGAATTGTGAGCCTCTTTCTATTCGGTTCAGGTTTCATAAGTTAGTAGAAAAATAAATTGCATTGCAAATAATTGAAAAATTTAAAGCATGTACATTATACAATTTAAGAAATTATGAATGTTTATAAAGTCAATTCTATTTTATTTACTCCCCTTCAGAAAATACCTTTGTCCCGGAAAGAATCAAAAAGAAACCCAGCAAATTGTTTTAAACCTGAAAGTATAAAAATATGTGGTAGAGCCATGCTGTAGCATTTTTTTAATGTAGGTTAGGGTGACAAACGAGCACACAGTCCACCTGATGGTAAGTGGCCACTGTGACCCATAGACATCTACATCTATCCTCAATAAAGACTCAAGATGCAGATGCGTTGTCACCCGTGAGGACTAAGATGGAATGCCTCTTTGGCAGTAAAAAGGGTCTCCGGTTCTCTACACTCACCATACGAAACACAGCAGCGTTAAGATGCTATTTTACGCTGGTTTTCTGTGAGAGCGTGGTCTCTCCCCGGTCGAGCCGACCCATTCGTGCTACAACGGTTAACGGTGGTAGAGCCCTGCAGCAGTTTTTTGCTGTTGCACGTATGGGCCGGCTCGAGCCGGGTTGGTACCACGACCTCACAGAATACCGGCGTGAAGTAGAGGCTCTGCTTCTGCGTTTCGTCTGGTGAGTGCAGGTGGCCGGAAGCCCAATTCCCCCCCCCCCCCCCATCAACATGGTAGCGGAATTAGACAATAGACTACCCCAGGAGGGTACCAGTACCCCTGGAGAATCCCTCGCTGAGCATCCACGACCATGTTATTCCAATCCTGAGCGTGGGTGCTCAGGCTGCCCCGCGTATTCTGGGGGGGGGGGCAAAATTCCGCTCAAAAACAAAACTGCTCGGGGCAAGCTGAGCAACAATACCAAGGCGACCCCTGCCACGCTATCCGTGAATTTCTGCAACATCAGGGGACTTCACTCTAACCTAAACGCCGTCCACTACCATCTCGAGACGGCGAAGCCGGCCTTGCTCTTTTTGACCGAGACGCAGGTTTCCTCTCCGACTGATATTTCGTATCTCTCCTACCCGGGGTACAAATTGGAGCACTCCTTTGTGCCTCGGGCTGGAGTTTGCGTGTATGTTAGAGAGGACATCTGTTCTCGACGCCTCGGCAGTCTTGAAGGTTCGGACCTGTCCATCCTTTGGCTACGCGTAGACAGCGACGACCATCCGCGCGTCTACGGGTGCCTCTATAGGTCCCATAGCGGTAATGCCGAAACAGACCGACTCATCGACCACGTCCAAATGGCTACAGATTCCTTGCTACAACGGGTCCCATCCGCAGAGATCGTGATCCTTGGCGATTTTAACGCCCACCATGCCGAATGGCTCGGTTCACGTTTAACCGATCATGCGGGGAGATCTGTTTATGACTTTGCCTTGGCATATGGTCTGACACAACTGGTTACTTCGCCTACGCGGATTCCAGATGTGGAGGATCATACACCTTCCCTGTTGGACCTTGTGCTGACCTCTCATCCGGACGGATATCAGGTTTCCGTCGATGCCCCTCTCGGCTCTTCGGACCATTGTCTGATCCGGAGTATGGTGCCACTCACGCTCCCTTCGCGGTTGCGTTCTGCAGGTTGCCGCCGTGTTTGGCATTACAGGTCGGCGGATTGGGACGGAATGCGGTCTTTCTTTGCATCCTACCCATGGGGGCGGGTTTGCTTCTCGCCGGATGATCCCAGTGCTGTTGCTGACTCTGTCACTGATGTGGTGCTACAGGGAATGGAACTATTTATTCCATCATCTGTGGTACCCATCGGAGGCAGATCTCAGCCTTGGTTTGGTCGCTCCTGTAAGACTGCATTGCGCAGTAAGCAGGAGTGTTATCAAGCCTGGGCTGCAGCTTCGGTGACTCGGGATGTAAACACCAGCACACTTAAAAAGAAGTATAACTTCGCCTCCAGGTCCTTCAAAAGAGTTATTGCCAAGGCAAAGTCAGAGCACATAGGCAGAATTGGCGAGAAACTAGTTCGCCTTCCTTCGGGAACCCGTGCATTCTGGTCTCTCGCCAAGGCTGTCCAAGGGAATTTCTGTAAGCCATCACTACCATCTCTGCACAGGGAGGACGACTCACTGGCCCAAGACGCAAAAGACAAAGCCGACCTTTTAGGGTCCCTTTTTGCGTCCAACTCGACTCTTGATGACGGGGGGAAAATACCGCCGACCATCCCGCGGTGTTAGTGCTCCATGCCGGATGTGCTATTCTCACAGCGCTCAGTTCGCAAAGCATTTCTCTCCCTGGACATCCAGAAGTCGAGTGGGCCTGACGGAATCCCCCCAATTGTGCTGAGGACGTGTGCTCCGGAGTTGGCACCGGTCCTAACGCGTCTTTTCCGGTACTCCTACTCCCAAGGCGTAGTCCCGAATTCATGGAAGACAGCTTTTGTCCACCCGATCCCTAAAAAAGGCGACCGCTCAGACCCGTCCAACTATAGGCCTATCGCGATCACCTCCTTGTTCTCCAAAATAATGGAATCCATTATTAACTGCCAGCTCATCCGGTACCTTGAGGATCACCAGCTGATTAGTGACCGCCAATACGGTTTTCGTCGGTGTCGATCAGCTGGTGATCTTCTGGTCTACCTGACCCATAGATGGGCGGAGGCAGTAGAGTCCAAGGGGGAGGCGTTGGCCGTTAGTCTGGACATTGCGAAGGCCTTTGATCGGGTTTGGCACAAAGCGCTTCTTTCAAAGCTGCCTTCCTATGGGCTTCCCGAGAAATTGTGCAATTGGATCACCAGCTTTCTTGCAGATCGGAGCATCAAGGTCGTTGTAGACGGTGCATGTTCTGACTACAAGCCTATTAACGCTGGTGTTCCACAAGGCTGTGTGCTATCACCAACGCTGTTTCTTCTGCATATCAATGATATGTTGCTAACTGGTAACATTCATTGCTATGCGGATGACAGCACTGGTGATGCTCTATACACCGGCCGGGCCAATATTTCTCGGGAAAACGTCGCCGAGTACCGGAACAAACTTGTGTCTGAAGTCGAGTCTTTGCTGGACAAAGTCTCGGATTGGGGGCGACTAAATCTAGTCCAATTTAATCCTCAGAAGACACAAGTTTGCGCGTTTACCGCTAAAAAGAACCCCTTTGTCGTATCTCCTCAGTTTCAAGGCACTCCCCTTCTTGCCTCAGCCAGTATCGGTATCCTCGGAGTCGACATATCGAGTGACGTGCAGTTTCGTGGTCACTTGGAAGAGAAGGCCAAATTGGCCTCTAAAAAGCTTGGCGTGCTCAGCAGAGCGGGACAGTATTTCATGCCGGCACACCGCCTGCAACTTTACAAGGCGCAGGTTCGGCCTCACATGGAATACTGTTCCCATCTCTGGGCAGGGGCTCCCCAGTGCCAGCTCCTTCCACTTGACCGCATCCAGCGCAGAGCGGCTCGAATCGTCGACGACCGAGCCCTTTCCGATCGGCTCGATTCATTGGCACTGCGAAGAGATGTTGCATCTCTTTGCATTTTCTTTCGCATCTACCATGGGGAGTGCTCTGAGGAATTGTTCGGATTAATCCCAGCCGCCAAATTTCACGAACGCACATCGCGGCAGAACTCCCGATACCATCCACACCATCTGGATGATTGGCGGTCCACCACTGTGCGATTTAGAAGATGTTTTCTTCCTCGCACAACTTCCTTGTGGAATAGTTTACCACCAGGGATTTTTCCGGACCGATACGACTTAGGGACCTTCAAGAAAAGAGCCTACTCCTTTTTAAAAGGCCGGCAACGCATCTGCAATTCCCCTGGTGTTGCGGTTGATCATGGGCGGCGGTAGCCACTTACCATCAGGTGAGCCGCATGCTCGTTTGCCCCCTCTCCTATAAAAAAAAAAAATACAACTATACTACTAATATAGCTGCAGCATGGCTCTACCACGTATAAATAGCTATATTCTGTGCATAGCCAGAGGTGCTCGCATTGTGAAATTTACGGAATTTTGTGAACACACAATTCTCGTTTTGGAATGAGTGTTTAACCGCGGCGTTAAGTTGTTAAGTTTCTAAGTGTTTATTTACATCCTAATACCCGATAAACGCGTTATTAAGAAACTTTTGGGTATGTATCTAAATTGATTATAGGCGGAAGAAAGGGTTTCTTCCTTCCAATGAATTTAACAACTTTCTTAAGGAAGTTAAAGTTCTGCCATTAATAATAACTTACAGACTATTTATAAATATTATTGTAAAACAAATAATATATATAATTTATTGTTTAAAAATATGTTAGTAAATAATAATGATTGCACTTCATAATTAATAAATATTTAATGTAGATAAATACGTGCATTTAATTTATATTAATTCCTTTATTTTTCTCTGTTTATTAAGTGTTTGTGTATATTTTTGTGTATACTGTATTGTTAAATTTACAGCGAACGCTGCGGCTTAACTGTACAAAATTTTTTTTTTATAGGAGAGAGGGCAAACGATCATGCGCCGCACCTGATGGTAAGTGACTAACGCCGCTCATGAACAACTACAACACTAGGGGAATCGCAGATGCGTTGCCGGCCCTTTAAAAAGGAGTACGCTCTTGAAGGTCCCTAAGTCGTATCGGTCCGGAAAAATCGCTGGTAGTAATCGATTCCACAAGGAAGTTGCGCGAGGGAGAAAACTTCTTCTAAATCGCACAGTGGTGGACCGTTAATCATCCAGATGATGTGGATGGTATCGCGAGTTTTGTCGCGATGTGCGATGGTGAAATTTAACGGCTGGAATTAGTCGGAACAATTCCTCAGAGCACTCCCCGTGGTAGATGCGATAAAATACGCAAAGAGATGCAACATCTTTACGCAGTGCCAGTGAGTCAAGCCGATCGTAAAGTATTCGGTCGTCGACGATTCGAACCGCTCTGCGCTGGATGCGGTCAAGTGGAAGGAGCTGGCACTGGGGAGCCCCTGCCCAGAGATGGGAACAGTATTCCATGTGAGGCCGAATCTGCGCCTTGTAAAGTTGCAAGCGGTGTGCCCGCATTAAATACTGTCCCGCTCTGCTGAGCACGCCAAGCTTTTTACAGGCCAATTTGGCCTTCTCTTCCAAGTGACCACGAAACTGCACGTCACTTGATATGTCGACACGGAGGATCTGGAACTTTGATCATATGCGACTAGTTCGATTGTGAATTGATTGGTTGCAGTAATCCATGCGAGCAAGGTCATGTCGAAAGTTCGATTAAAACTTAACTGAAACTTGCGACACGTCCGCATCTATCTTGGCGTGTCGTCTGTTATGGTCATGTTTGCTATGGTCCGAACGACTAAGCTAATCGGTAAATAATGTTAAGAAAAGTAGTGTCCGTGTTGAAATTAATAAATAAGAGATATGAAACAAAGGAAAATAAAAGAAGAAATAAAAAATTATTAAAATAAAAGAATTTTGTGAGCGGGCTTATAAACGCTACACTGTTTGATTGTGTCAATCACTATAGAGCTGTCGTTATAGCAGTTTGATCGTGCTCTACCGTCGCTACGTGAATGGCCCCTGTTAACGATGTTTTTTAACTTGCTAGAGTCAAACAAATGAGTAAAGATTATCTAACTTATTTTTCATGCCACTTGTACAGATGCAGCGAGTACACATATCACATATATATTCCCGTTCCATTTTTATTTAATCTTGAGCTAACTAAAAAAAAATCATTTACTACTTTACTCTATTACTTCTTAAATGTTTGAAGGATCAACACAACTTAAAATGTAAAGTAGTTTCGCTACTTTTTATTTCAGTTATTGTTTAGGCCAAATCGTAACATTTAAAACTTGCATTCAAAACTCTAGTCTCGGCGCGTTCATCCGATGGTATTTAGTTCACCGCCTGGACCCCTTCCCCGCGCGCGTCTCTGCGTTCACGCTCGGTCGCCTGACGTGTGGGCGAGCAAGTTGGTCCGCGGCGGCCGTGTCGGTTAGACGAGTCGTCTGGAAGTTACGCCCGGAACGTTAGGTCGCGTTAAGACCGCCTCTGATTGCGTTGTCTGATTTCATGCGTTTATGTGACAACGAGGCTTTCCTTGAGTTTTGAGTGATTAACTTAACTTCGATTGACATTAATTTGCATCGACGTGTTGCTTGTATGGCATTTTAATATCGTATGAAGGCATTTTTCCTCTGTCGGGTAGAACGTTAAGAATTTGTGAACCGAGAGGAGATCGCGTTCGTCTTCGGTTATAATTTTGTGCTATGTGACGTTAGACTTGAGTTCAGATAACGGTGAACACCCACTGGAGTGATCAAACATTGTAGAGCAGAGCAGCGCATGTGGGTTTGCTGCCCGATTACATCGGTGACGTCAGGTTACATTAACACACTTTCTTACACCACTTACACGTACCACTACTTATCCCTGACGGTACCTTGTAGTCAACCCTACCTCCGGATCTCAGTAAGTTTGTGTTTGTTTATCCAGCCACTAATATAATTATCAATTGCAATTTGGGCCCGAACCCTCTGGTTGCCCGTCGAGTGGGTCACTCATGGGCCCTGGTCCAGTCGACTTCTGTCGGGGCAACTGGGGGCGTAATATTTTCTGGTAGCAGAGCGCGGTTGATTGTTTCTCCAATCACGCCCGGCCGTATTATAAAAAGAAATTTTTTTTTGTTTTGTTAGCGGGTCGGTGGTTAGAACCACGCCCGTTAGGTTGCGCAAGCAGGAGTGTAGTTTAGGGTTAGGCACCTACGCGTCAGGTATTTCGGGTAGGTAGATTAAATTGCCGAAGGGTCGGTCTCCTGAGCGAGACATCTTTGCTGACCGACTGTAGTGTGTACTTGCCGTGTAGTGTAATTTGTAATTAATTTAATTTAATAGTAATTTGTAGTTAGTAGTGTTGCCATCGCACAAGCCATCGGCGCTTCGCCTGCAGGCGGAGCTACGCTGGGCCGCGAATGCCCATACTTTGATAGGGCGACCCAATCGGGTCCATAGTTTCGGGAAGCGGCTCGAGCAGGTTGCGGCCCGAAGAGCCGTAGTGGAGGAGGCTTACACTGAAATTGTGGCCTCGGATGCGGAACAGGGAGTCCTATACTCCTGCCTCGCGGACAACGAACAATTCTTTTCGCTCACGGACGATTTGATCGAGGCGGGGGCCAAGTATGCTAATGAAGCGCGTGAAGCTCGGCTGAGTGGCCTGCCCGAGTCCCCTCGGAAGCAGCCTACTCAGCCGGAACTGCCCTAGCTCC